CCCTCCCCCACCACCACTCCATGCGCACCACCACCACCCCATTCACCTTGGTTGACAACTACTTTCTATCCCCTACTTCACTGTATGTGGAAATGGCCTCCTCAAGGTTGGGGCCAGAGGGCTTAAGGATGGGTTTACAAAGGAAGAGTTTCTATAGCCATCACTTCTAGTAGCTCTGTCATTGGCAGGTGCCCAAAGCCTCTTGACCTGCCCTGTGGAAATCACCTGAGCAGCAGAGGGTCTGATAGGGAATCAGGATTTCTGGTCTAGCTGGATATTGTCAAAGCCAAATAAAGACTCTTTTTGACTCAGGGTTTTTTTTTTTTGTTTTGTTTTGTTTTTAATAATAGAATAGTTATTTTTATTTTTTTACATTATTTTAAGCATTTTTCCATTTTAGTTGTAATCCCCGTGGGCTTCCCATCACCAAATCACCCTGTGCCATCACCATAGTCCAGTGCATTTCCCACCCCCGACTGTTTTTGATCCTATTCCCACTCCACCCTCATAAAATGTCTCTGGTCTATAGCTGTTCATTATTATTATTATTATTTTCTCACCTGGTCCATTATACTCCTGCTATGAGTGAAACCATCCGATATTTTCCCTTTTCTTTCTGGCTTATGTCATTAAGCATGATCTTTTCCAGCTCCATCCATGTTGCTGCATAAGGCATGTGTTTTTTTTTTAACATTTGCAAATGAATCTCAGGTCCTCCCATGTAGAAAATGTCCTGTCCCTTGTGGACAGCAGGTTTAACCCAAAGTAGGGGCTACATCCTAGGCCTAGTTTCTTCTGACCCCACAGCCTAGCACAAGGACTCTCCAATGTCACTGATTTGGTTAGAGAAAACTGCCAGCAATTGTAGTAGAAGATGTAGGCAGCCTCAACTGGTAAATCCCAGCACAGCCCTACCCACCTCTTATCCACCAAACCCTGGACATTCTTCCCTCCTCTAAACCCTGATCAGAGTGAGAACCTTCAGAAACCCAGATTACCTAGGCTCATATTTGGCTAGTACTGTGGCCCAGTGTGTGGGAAGCATGAGGGTTGGTCAACATGTGGTACTTATTCTCATCTGCTGAGCTGGACCGCATAGCAGATGTGACAAGTGTGGTATCCATGGCGTAATGTGGAGGATGCTCTGGGGAGAGAGACTTCCTAGGGTTGCTGCATGCTGTAATATATCTCTCTTTCCCTCCCTGGCTGCTGCATAGAGCCCCACATACAAGCTTGTGAAGAAGAAGCCACTGCCCTCCATCTCATCCAAGTCTTCTGTGTCCTGCATCTCCAACCCCTGGCATGAGGAAGCCGTCAACTACTTGACAGAGCAGGCCCTCTCCTTGCTCATTTATAAATATAAGTATGAAAAGAACCTTACCAAACAGCTGGGCTTTATCTCATTCCCCATCACCGAAGTGCTCATGGACCTCTTCCTGGGCTTCAAGAAGGTAAAGGGATCCTGTATCCACCTGTCCTCCAAGATAGACTGGAGCTGCCTACTGCAGAAGCTGGAGGAGGCTGAGTGGGCCCAACAGGCACCCCAGGCCTCCCAGCAGGCCTCTCTGCAGGCCTCCCAGCAGGCCTCTCTGCAGGCCTCCCAGCAGGCCTC